AATGAGCCCGAAACGAAAGACAGACCCTCTCCTGCCCCCGCCTCGACTCCGTCTCCAACTCCGCCCGCGACTCCGGTCATCGTCCTTCGCCGCCTCACTGCCTGGGAAAAGAAACTGCCCAAGCAGTACACCGTTGCCGCTGCCCCTGGGGCGAACTCCCTCCACCTCCCGTTGGAGCTTGAGTCCACCACCAGCGCGCTGAAGCTCTCACTCTCTGGGCTTGTCGACTGTGGTGCCACCTCCGACTTCATTGACACGAACTATGTTGCTCGGAATGGCATTCCGGTCCGCACCCTCGATCAGCCGATTCCGGTTTTCAATGTCGATGGCACCCCCAATGACGCTGGCTCCATCAAACAGATCGCGGACTTGGTCCTGCGCTACAAGGGCCATGCCGAACGAGTTCAACTGGCCGTCACCCATCTTGGCAAGCAAGACCTCATCCTGGGGTATTCCTGGTTGCGGAAACATAACCCAGAGATCAATTGGGAAACCAAGGAGGTCAAGATGACACGGTGCCCCCCGCAATTGCTCGACCTGCCGCAAGGAGGAGCGTGTCGAACGGACCGAGTTGCGGCGACTTCGGTCGCTTCAGAAACGTCTCCGCTCCGGCCCGTTCCCCTCGGTTTGCACTATGGACCTCTCTGGCCCTGAGGACGGAGACGATTCCGACTCCGGTCTCGATTCCGACCTGCCTGATCTGACACCGGACTCGGACTCGGACGACGAGGATGACCAGCTTGAAGATGGTGACCGCATCTTCTACACCTCGTTTCGTCCCTCGGAAGAGATACGCGCAGGTAGCACCATCTCACAGCGCCTGGCCGAAGCCTTTGCCAGGAACTCTGCCCCTCCGCCCTCCGAGATCCCGGACTGGGCTAGGGAGTTCCAGGACGTCTTCAACAAGGAGTCCTTTGATACGCTACCGGAACGGGAGAGCCTGGGACCACGCCATTGAACTCGTCCCTGACGCTAAGCCAACCAACTGCAAGGTGTACCCCATCTCGCCCCTCGAGCAACGCGAGCTCGACGCGTTCATCGAGGAAGGGCTGTCGACAGGCCGGATTCGCCCCTTCAAGTCTCCGATGGCGTCTCCGGTCTTCTTCGTCAAGAAGAAGGATGGCGGACTCCGCTTCGTCCAGGACTACCGTGCTCTCAACGCGATGACTGTCAAAAACCGGTACCCCCTTCCGCTAGTTGTACCTTCGAGCGGAGAAGTGCGACTTTGAAAAATCGTCAATCGAGTACCTCGGAGTCATCATCTCCCACAACCACGTCGAAATGGACCCCGTCAAGGTCGCAGGCATCTCCGCTTGGCCGACTCCGGAAAACAAGAAGGACATTCAGCAGTTCCTTGGGTTCGCTAACTTCTACCGCAGGTTCATTCGGGACTTCTCGACCCTTGCGCGCCCTCTTTTCGTGCTCACCAAGAAGGACCAGCAGTGGACTTGGGGCGATGCGGAGGCCTCCGCGTTCCAAGCAATCAAGGACGCGGTCACCTCGGAACCGGTCCTGGCGATTCCGGACGACGCACGGTCTTTCCGACTAGAGGCGGACAGCTCTGATTATGCAACGGGGGCGGTTCTTTCACAATCCGCCCCGGACGGGAAGTGGCACCCTGTAGCATTCTATTCCAAAAGCTTAAATGATGTCCAGCGCAACTACGAAATCCACGACAAGGAGATGCTCGCGATCATCCGTGCACTCGAGGAGTATAGACACTTCCTTGAGGGCGCCGCGCATCCTGTCGAGATTTGGACTGACCATAAGAATTTGGAGTACTTCAGGAAGACGCAGCACCTCAACCGGAGACAGGCCCGGTGGTCCCTGTACCTCTCCCGGTTTGATTTCACGCTGCACCACAAACCTGGCCGCGACATGGGTCGACCTGATGCCCTCTCCCGGAGACCCGACCACGGAGTCGATTCCGACAACTCCAATATCGTCCTTCTGCGGCCTGAACTCTTCCACGTCTGCGCACTCGAGGGCGTTTCCGTTTCCGGTCCCGGCTCTGAACTCCTCCGCGACATCCATGATGCCCTCTCCGGTGAGCCTGACCTGGAGGAGCCCGTCGCACTAGCGGCCCGGCAACTTCTTAAGGTTCAAGGTCAAGCTCGAGGCCCCCGCTCCTCACGGTCTGACGAGTGGGCCGTCTCCGGCGGTCTTCTCCATTTCCGAGGAAAGATTGTTGTACCAAAGGACAAGGACCTCCGGAGACGCATCATCGAGCTCTGCCATGACACCCGAGTCGCCGGACATGCAGGTCGTTTCAAGACCTTGGAGTTGGTCTCCCGGAACTACTGGTGGCCTCAGATGTCTCGCCATATCGGCCGGTATGTTGCGACCTGTGACTTGTGCTGTCGCACCAAGGCACTCCGGAGACTGCCCCCACGGAGAGTTGCACCCCACGGAAACGCCCCCGGAACGCTGGCATACCGTCTCCGTTGACTTCATCGTAGAGCTTCCCGAAGCCCATGGGTACGACGCAATCATGGTCGTCGTTGACACCCTCGGAAAGCGCGCCCACTTTTCGGAGTGTCATACGACGGTCGATGCAGTAGGGGCAGCCCGCCTTTACTACCGGAACGTCTGGCGGCTCCATGGGACTCCGGAGAAGTACGTCTCCGACCGCGGCTCGCAGTTCATCGCGGACTTCACCCGAGAACTCTGGCGCCTAATCGGCATCAAGCCTGCCACGTCCACCGCGTACCACCCGCAGACAGACGGTCAGACAGAGCGCGTCAACCAGGAGCTGGAGCAGTACTTGCGGATCTTCACCAACTCTGACAAAAGCCTAGCAGGGGAGGATCCAAAGCATAAATAAGAGCTACAGAAATACACGGAGGGTGTAAGGGCAACCCCGGAGGCCTGAGATCAAGGTCCTAACAGGGGAGGATCCAAAGAGAAGAAACTCTAAGGGTCGGCCTGCTAGGGAGCTGACTATATACTGCTTGTCCGTAGCTGCTGCTGTTGGGCACAGAAGGCTTGAGTGGCGTCACAGGCGAGGGGCCAGGGCGACTGTCGGGAGGGCGTTGACGGATCGGTGATTGTGCGGGGCGAGATGGAGGGCCGGATCGGAGTCGGAACTGGAATTGGACCGGAGTCGGATGCGTCTCCAAGGGGCCGAAAGGGGGGGGTTCCCCTGACAAGATTAAGTATTCTTTTCTTGATTGAACAATCTTTAGCAGAAGCCCTGGTGTGATTTAATGCTTTGAAGGACTATTACTCTCAGTTAAAACCAGCGACCTTTGGCACTCGCAGCCACAGGTGGAGACCTTTTTAAATTTCCATTATCAAATTCTGTGTAAAGGCTGGGGCCCAGCTGAGGCTTGGCATGAGCTAGAGCTTCACTGGCACCACATTAGGAAAACTCCATCACCCTGGGCATCCTGATGCCAAGGCTCCCAGGCCAGTCCCAGACATGACAGGCCGCCAGAATTGGTCTGGCCCCATTAGTGACATAGCAAGCACCAGAATTTATTATGGCGCCAAAATGTCTCCAGAATCTCAACAGGGTTTCTCCAATGCTATCTAATCTCTCAAATGTGTCACTTCAAATTATGAAAGAAAACAAATATATTTGACTATTCTACATACTACATGTTGTAAATACATGGTGGAGCTCTCGGGACATATTATTTTATTGGTAACAAATGTAAATAATCCTAGTACTTGGGACAACTTATACAGTTCATACCAGAGACAATGACAAATTATATTTTAATAACTTGAACAGATGGAAAATGAAACTTCGACTTGATTTGCAAGTAATGGAATGGGATCACATACTTATCAAGTTCTCAGATAGGATATGAGTCAAAGCTAATATCAACAGACCATTACAAATAAATATGGCAAATATGCCACAAAATATAAGACCAGATCTGCCAGGTCCACAGCAGAATGTATCAGAGATAAGTGAAGAAATGCCTGTGAGATATGACAAATTCAGGTAATAATACTTTTTTGAAAAAGAAAATATTAAGGCTTAAGTGAGATGCATTCAGTATTAACAAATCACGGTCATAAAAAAGCTAGTCTCAATATATTCTAGATTTTATGCCCTGATACGGAACTTTAATTTTTTCCTTGACCAGGTTAAGTTTTCTTTTCTTGATTATTGATTAAAGTTGTTAAACATTAGAATTATGTTCTGCTTTGGGAATAATCTTTAGCAGAAACCCTAGTGTGATTGAATGCTTTGAAGGAAAATTACTCTCAGTTGAATCAAGCTTAAGCTCCTGCCAGGATAATTTGCTAGTGTATACTAATTTGGAATCTGAATTTCTGAAAATACCTGCATTTGCTAGTCTCAGACCCAATTGCCACTACAATGCTGTATGTACTAGTACAGAAAACTTTTTATTTACTTTTAATCAGTTTGTGCTACGCCGCTCGTCGGGCAACGTCGGCCCTACCTTGAATCATGCCAGAACATTCCGGCAAGTCACACTGTGACCATCAAACCTTCAACAGCAACAACCACTCGAACACCGAGCTACGGAGAACGACTCCACCTTTGTCTTGGCGCGCATTGGCTCAACTCCGCCCATAGTCGGCTGACTTGTGCCGACCTGACATCGGACCCAATCGCTCGTCTGCCGCCATCCGGCCTGCCCACGTCGATACCTACCGCGCTGTCAGCTGGCCGATGAGAATGGCCCCTCGAAGCGCAGGATGTTTGTCGGTCAGAATACCTAGATGCCGCCACAGGCTTCCCACCCGAAGCGTCGAGGCATGACGACCCGCCCCCGTCGCTGCTGCCCACATGCAGATGGGAGGCGTCGCAAAAGGGAATCCAGTTTCCACGCAATGTGTCATCTTGGAGGATACTCCGCACTTGCAGGGCTATTTTTGGCTCGGAAGTTCTGTCTTTCACCGTGCGGCCTCCGAGTTGCTGAAGCTGCTGATGGTCGCAAATATGCCGCAAGGTATATTAGTCTAGTCCCATTGAAGGACGCTTCGACCCTCTTGGACGCCGACTAAAAACTTACCCCGCAATGTTCCTTTCGTCCGTGGCAACCCTTGTCCTCCTTGGCGGCGTTGTCTCTGGTGAAACCTTTAGTCTAAATACGGGACTCACAAACTCATCTTTTTTGCAGCGCTACCATCAGCTCCTGCTCCCCACGCCTGCGCGGCCGCGGTGGCTAAATTCAATGCAGAGCGGCGCGCGGCCCGGGGACTCGCCAAGCGCACCTTCTACCCGAAAATGCTCAACGTATTACGGCTCGCCTTCCTGCTGAAAGGCATCTGCTAACTTGTCTTCCAGCTGACATGCGTATTATCACCCGAAAGCTCGTTGGCCTCGAGCTATGTTGCCAATTCAGTTAGTAAAGCTTCGAATGAGCTGACCCGCCTGATAATTCACAGCCTGTCCGTTCTGCACTCAACGTCGACAACTCTCCGTGCATTTTACCGCTGCTATGCATTCTGATCGCTCAACGTTTCGTCAGCGGCGTCGAGCTTATCGTGGATGTCGGCGTCATGGACACGACGACGTGCAAGCCGCTACAAAACGTCAGTTGTTTTCCAAGTTGGGTTTTTTCTCCGCTGACTTAGAACTGCAGGCCATGGTCGAACTCTGGGGTCGTAAGTAGCTTGTTAACTATGAAGGTCTGTCGGATAACGTGGGCCGAATGCAGCGAATGCGGTCGGGCAGTACAGCAGCACCTCTCTTCGTGGCGCAACCAGCACCGGTGTGTCACTTCATCTAGCATTTATCCTCAGAAACTAAGCGCCGCAGGCTCCAATGGCATCGCCGAGTTCCAGACGATCTTCCCCGGCGCTCCCGCCGGTGCCGCGAACCACCTCAACATCCTTGTGCACCAAACGGGCTCGGAATCCTCGTCTGTTGTCCACGTCGGCCAGCTGTTTTTCTATGATTCTTGGAACAGTAAGGGGAGACACTTTGCTATCGCAATCTCTGACACCTTCATAGAATTTGTCGGGATGTACACCAACTACAACAAGAACACCAACCTGCAGATGCTCAATGCGGATGACCCCAACTATGCGGCGGCCAGCAGGAATGGCGTGGACCCGATCATCGAGTGAGTTCCACTGGCACTGCGCGGCGAAATCGTTCTGATACGGCTTCCGGTAGTACTGAGAGCATCAACGACGACTGGCCAGAAGGTGTGTTGTCTTCCTTGAAGTTCTTCATTCGACCTTACTTATATCGGGCCTCGGCGCTCCAGGTATTATTGGCTATATCAGTAAGTCGCAGATCTTGCCAACTAGATAGCGGCTCAAGTATCCCCAGCTGTGGGCGTCAACCTAAACAAGGTGGTGCAGTAGAGCCTGAGATCATAGCACAAAGCATGTACTTTGCTACCAAGACACACCTGTGCCGCAGTGCCGAATCCAGGGCGGGAACGGTGCATGAGATGATTCGGGCGGAGATACAGAAGCATCGCAGCCATATACAAGTTGTTTCCGTGGAATGCAAGTCGACGGCAAGAGCTACGACGTCATATGCTGCCACGTTCTGTCTACGTGGCAGCGGGCACGTGGTCCCGGAATCACACCTCTTCTCCTCCCCCTCATCGTCCCCACTTGAAGATGCGCGTCTATGCGCTCACATCCTCCGTCCTCGCCCTCCTACTCCGCTCCACGACCGTGCGCGCCGATTCAGGGACAGGCTTATACCCGCCCGGCCTACAGCCGCTCATCACCAGGGCCAACGTCCTTCTGTCAAGCGGGCAGTTCAGCGAGGCGGCGCGGGTGTACTCAGAGGCCATCGGTGAGTCTACAAGGCTTTCCTTCGCTCGTTGGTCGCATAGTGCTACGTTTGCGAATGCATCGCAAGCGTGGCCTATGACCGGCTCCTGCTCGCGTTCCATTGCCACGTCTGACGCCTCTCCAGAGCAGTCTCCCGCGGACTACCTGCTTTACTACAAGCGCGGGACAGCGTATCTCTCACTGGGGCGCCATGGCTCCGCCCTCGACGATTTCACCCATGTCCTGACCCTCACACCGCTTCCGTCGGCCTATCTGATGCAGGCCCGCATCCACACCAAGGAGGGCGATTTTGCTGCGGCGAAGGCGGCGCTGAAGCTCTACAGTGGTGGCGAGAAGGAGACGCTAGAGCGGGAGGCCCTGTTAGGCGACATTGCGGAAGGCGAAGCAGCCGCAAAACAAGCCAACCAGGAGCGGTCGGCGCAGCTCTGGAATGCCTGTGTCGAGAACTCAAGCCGGGCTCTTCGGATTTCGACTCACAGCTCTTCTGTGCGAAGTTTACGAGTCGAATGCTCTCTTGGAGCCGGTGACATCGAGGGTGCCGTTGGTGATATGAGGTGTGTTATTGCTTTCCTCCTTTTCCTTCTCGTTAAAATGTTTTTAAGCCGTTTGACATCGCTTCTCCCTGAATCGCAAACCCAGGAGCTCAATGCTCTTATTTTCCGTCTCGCCTTCTTCCTCCTTCCAGCCTCCCCTGTTGCGACCAACGCGCTAAAACAATGCTTGCACTCAGACCCCGAATCGCGGCTGTGTATGCCTCTCCACCGACTGTCCAAGACCCTCGAGCGTGGTTTTGCCCTGCTCGAAGATCAAACGAATGCTGGCGACTGGCGTGGAGCGTTGGCAACTCTGAAAGGGACTGGGAAGAAGGGCGACATATACCGCAAATTCCAAGAAGCCGCGACGGAGCAGCTCGCCGCTCAGCATTTAGCGCTCTTCACGCTTGGGTCGGGCAAGATCCGGTTGCCGAGTTGGGAAAAGACGTCGCCCAGACGGAGAACGCTTTTGCGAGCTCTCTGCAAGGGGCACACCAACCTGGAGCTGCATCGAAAGGGCGAAGAATGGTGTCAGATGCTGTACAATATGGAGGAGGGTGACAATGATGCGGACGCGCTGAGAGGTTTGGGCGAGGCGTTATTGGTTAAAGAGGAGTGGGAGGATGCGGTTCGGATGCTGGAGAGAGCTTTCGAGGCCACTGGGCGGTCCGACCGTGATGTGAGCAAGTTTTTCTCTCGTTTTTCGTTGCTGACATGACGACTAGTTTGGCGGAAGACTGCAAACGGCACAACGACTTTTGAAGCAAAGTAAAGCGAAGGATTACTACAAGGTCCTCGGTGTTTCTCGCGATGCGGACCCCAAAACCATCAAGAAGGCTTTGTGTGTCGTTTTTTTCCCTCTCATTCATACCCGTTGTCTGACCAAACTCCAGCCGGAACGCGGCCAAAACCGCCCACCCTGACAAGGGTGGCTCTGAACAAAAGATGGCCGCCCTGAACGAGGCGTATGAGGTGCTTTCCGACCCAGGTATGGCGCTTTGCTGCTTTTTTTTTCTGTTCCTGCTCACGTTTGCGTAGAATTGCGACAGCGTTTTGACAACGGGGAGGATCCAAACGACCCCATGGCATCGCAGGGTGGCCACCCGTTCCAGCAGGGCGGGCATCCGTTTGCGCAGTTCTTCCAGGGCGGCGGGTTCCCGGGGGGCGGGTTCCCAGGCGGCGGTGGAGGAGGCGGCTTCCAATTCCACTTCAGTCATGGCCATTAGTTAGGGCTGTATTAATTATATTTACTGTACTTTTGCCCTGCTTTCCGTAGAACCCACGGAGTAGTTATTCGCATCTCCGAGGTCTGGGCATCGCGGGGATATATGTGACTTACCCAAAAGAGGCGGAGGGATCGACAGCTTTCTTTCCTTCCCCCCCTTCATGACGATAACCCAATAGCGCACTGACTCGATGTCGTCTTACTCGTCGTCCAACGGCCGCTTCCGCAGTCGGCTCTCACGGAAGAAATGGGGAGCGCCAGTTGTTGCTGGCGGAGCATTGGGGCTCATTTTGCTGGTGACGGTGGTTTCGAAGGTGTTCTGGGGCGGTGGGGATACCGGTATGTGGCACTTGTCCCCCCCCCATAAACGCGGTGTTAACAGATTGCTGAAGACCTTGACTTGCCGCCCCCACGAAAAACGGGCACACAGCACGACTTGCCAGACCCGAGCCAGCCGCATTACCCCGGCGCGGGGTCGTCAACGACGCTTAGCGCTGTCGATGAGCTCTTTGAGCGGCAGTCGCAGACGCTGGAGCAGGCTGCTGCGCGGTATAGACTGAAGACGGACCGTAATCCACCGAGGGGGTACGACAAGTGGTTTGAATACGCGCGGGAGAAGAGGTGCTTGGTGGACGACTACGACCAGATATACCGCGACTTTGCGCCGTTTTACCAGCTGGCTGATAAGAGGGAAAGCGAGAAGAATGCGGAAAAGTTCTTCCCGCAGATGGTCAAGGCGGTGGGGGCCCTGGTGCGTGTGTCTGATATTTTCCGTGCTTGCAGGGGCTAAACTGCGTCTAGATTCACGAGGAGAACATCGGGATGAGGACATTCACCATGCAGGAACATCGTTTGGGCACGGCGGATGAGTGGACGAGCAACTACGACGAGCTTTGGAACACGACCCTCACCCAAGTGCGTGTTGTTGTCTTCTTCTTGGGTTATATGTGTAACGAAATGGACAGTTGGGACCGTCTTTACCCGACTTCAAACTCATCATTAACCACCGCGATGAGCCTCGAATAGCGTTCGATGTACGGGCACTTTCACCCGAAGTAGCCTTCAAACCGGAAGACAAAGCGCCGTTTCGCAATGCGCCCAAGCCCACGTCCAAGTTTTACACCGACGACGGCCACTGCCTGGTGCCCAACGACCCCAGGGGCTTTTTAACTTGGGCAAACGGCGCAAGCTCATGTGAGTTTTTGACTCTCTTTATTTGTCAAGCTAATATCCCCAGTCCTACTCTACAGCGCCAGCGCCGACTTCACCACTGACCTTTATCCGGTGCTCAGCCAATCGAAGATATACCCATGTTTCTCCGACATCCTCTTCCCCAGCCCCTTCCACTACAAGCGCTCCAGCTCGCATCCGAAGTACTCCAAGCCGGACAATGTGGGCTGGGCCAAGAAGAGGTCCGTACTTTACTGGCGCGGCCAGTCGACTGGTGGCTGGATTTACGGCGAAAACTACCGCTCCTTCCCGCGCTTCCGCCTGATTGACATTGCGCGCGAGCCGAAGAATGCGGGGCTCATGGACGTGGCGATAACCGCGTTCTACACGTGGTTCTGCCAGCTCGAGGGCTGCGACGGCGAGAAGATCAGCAAGGAGTACAATATCACGGGGGAGAACGCGCCAAGGGAGGAGGTTTATAATTACAAATACGTGCTCGACGTGGACGGCAACGCGTTCTCGGGGCGCTATCTGGGGCTGCTCGCGAGCGGGTCGCTGGTGTTCAAGGTGTGTACGCCCGTTGGCTGGCTGTTTCCCCTTTTAAACAGCTATTCTGCAGTCGACACTCTTCACGGAGTACTTCCACGACTGGCTGCAGCCGTTTGAGCACTACATCCCTGTTAGACCAGACCTGTCTGACCTTGCGGAGCGGGTGCGGTGGGCGAAGGCGCACGACGAGGAGGCGCGGAGGATACAAAAGGCGGGGAAAGAGTTTGTGGATCGGGTGATGACAGACGCGCAGAATGACTGTTATTTTTATTTGGTGTTGTTGGAGTGGGCGAGGTTGCATGCTGGGGGGCACTAAGTAGTAATCCTGCTTTTTAGACTGAGAAGAGCGATATATTTGATGTCCATGAACTTCATCAAGTCTGCCAAATCGTCCGAAACTACATGTACATAGAGCACTCACCCCAAAAAATAATAATGCTTGTCACATCATTCTGATTTGGCTCCAAAATCATTACATATTTAGCTCAAAACTATGCTCTTGGATCTGGCTCCGAGGGTTGGGGTGTAGGGCTACAAAGTAGTGAGAGATAGAGAGATATTAGTGTACTCAGGCCTACTTCTACTGTCTTATATGTGGGTAGTAGGTGATATGTGGATAATCATAGATAACAGAATCTAAACGAGAGTGTTGATAGTGAGGTGCTAGATAGCTGACTATGTACTGTCTCGTGATACCCAAGCGTAATTATTGCTCCGAGCAGTACTAGTATGCCTGTGCTATGTTACATGCCAGGTCCCAGAGGGATTTGGCAGTGATGATAATATGCGGGAATCAGTGCTAGAGATGGAGACATCTCCAGGGTTGGAAAGAGGCTTTCCCTAATGAGGGTACATGAGAATGGTGAGATGTAATTTGGTGAGACTCATAGGTGATTCAAGTTGTCTGCCGGATGAAATAATTGAATGTCAAAATGTGAGTTAGCTGGTATTACACATGATCATTTGCGCTGTAGTAGCCTTTCCAATCCAATATGAATTTCAAAATAAACTTCCTGTTGATTATATTACCAAATCCGGAAATATAAAATTGTGGTCAAGTAATAAGAAAATATAATTCGAACTTTTCGCACATAAATGGGATTTTCAAAACAGTGTCAAATTGTTTGTAACACTCAGAACTTGAAATACTTGAACTTGTGCTGTTGATATTAATTTCAGTCTGCTAGCAGCTAGAGGTTGTAAGGGCAACCCTGGAGGCCTGAGATGGAGGATCCAAAGAGAAGAAACTCTAAGGGTCCGCCTGTGAGGTAGCTGACTACCCGTCACTATATACTGCTTGTCCGTAGCCGCCGCTGTCAGACACAAAAGTCCTGGGCAGCATCACAGGCAAGGTCCCATGGTAACCGTCGGGAGGGCGTTGACGGATTGATGATTGTGCGGGCAAGATAGAGGGCCAGACTGGAATCAGAACCGGAATGGGACTGGAATTGGAGTTATCTCTGAGAGGCCAAAAAGGAGGTTCCCCTGACGGAGGTGGAAACTATGTGAACTATTTATTTGCAATCGATTTCTGTTTGCCCAAGTTCACAAATAAAATGGTCACTTATGTGTTAATTACTATATCTGGAAATGAAAAGGGCTGGAGTCTTAGGTAGCATTAGTGCAGAGGGAAATACTAAGCATAGTAGACAAATGAAATATCACTGTAGGATTTGGAATGTGGCTAGCATAAGAGTCAGTTTTCAACCAAGGTTTCTTTTTGCCTAAAACAAATGCTTCCTGCAAGAGGTCCTGGAGTTATTTACCAAATTGATCATTTTGTAACCAAGTTGCTGGAAGGGAAAATTACTGTTTTTGGAAGTAGTTGTTACAGATTAAGAATCAGAGATTTTATTCTTAATCTGTTAGAAGAAGAAACAGAAAATTCTTGTTTTTGTACAGAAAATACCAGAGGTTTGCTTTGGATAAGAATTCATAGTTGTTTGCAATAGGAAAATTCTTTATAGCAGAATGAGAATGTCATAATTTTATGTATTTTGGAAAGCCTTCCAAAAAAAGCAATATTTGCTTTCTTCTGTTATCATCAACATGTAGCAAGACAAGGTACTGATATATACATACCTAAGCTTATACAATATACCTTATATGCAAAGCTTTCCAAAGTCATGATAGCTTATCATCCACCTTATCATGAGAGGTATTTGTATCACTAATCAGTGTTGTCCAGATTATACCTGCACTGCGAAGATCCCGGATTGTAGGGCTTGATACTTGCTCCATCAAAGCCTCAAGCTCAGGATGAGAGCGGTAAAGCCATATAGTCTGAAGGAAGCTGGCACTAGATAATGAGCCCAGGAACTTAGAATGACAACCATGTATAATGGCAGAGATTGAATATCGTAACGATATCATCATGGATATACTTGATGCAATAAGTCCCAGTAAGATCTAAGCTACTTGTTAGTGATTTAGCTGCTATGAGAACAAGTAACAAACTGAGATCAGGCTAAGCTAGATTTGTCTATCAGTATGGGAGACAGAAATAATATAAGAACAGACCTTGAGTTGCACCTTTTCTACCATAGCAACAGCTATTCCAGGAGCCCCAGTTTGGCTGACCATATTGAAGGACATGAACTGATCATCTGGTGATGGACCACTTCCCACTAGTTAAGTTAGATCAGGAATACTGACAAAGTCAAGATGAACTCACTTGTCCAAACCATTGTTGCAACTGTTTTAGCCAGAGCATTCTCAAAGTCATGCAAAAATATAGCTTTTGTTTTATTATTGGAGTGCAATATTGAGTCATTGCTGAGTATAAGTCGATTTAGTTGTCTGTGTTTATGTTTGTAATGTAGATATATATTGATCTCAACTTACAAGTCACCCACAGAACCTAGTGCATTTGTTGTTTGTGCACTGTACAAAGACTCCCACTGCAACAGCTGTAAGCTAATTATCATATATATATATAGATATATATATATATATACTCACAACACTCAGTGGAGAGAACATTGGCACCAAGCTTGTTGAAAGATGTAATGTTGGTCCTTTGTATGGCTTCCATATAGAGGAATTTTTTGTAAGATCTGGTACAACTGATATTGCTTGGAATGTTTGAGAATCAATAAGTGCTGTTTGCTTCACTGGAGTTATAGAACAGCGAAATGGCCAGATGTGAACATATTCAGTGCTGTTAGGGCCTTGGGATATCTTAATGCTAGCCCTTGGTCCCTGCATCTTCTTTGAGTCAATAATCAATATTGATGGCAGTGAGTCATTAGCCACAAAGAACATAATGCTATCTGTGTTAGTTCCTGTTGCACTATGTATCTGAGGGTTGACAGTAGACCAAGCATTATCAGCTTGCCAGCTCAGAATATATACAGTATCTGTCCTATTCTCCTGCAAGAGCCCAGATGATGATATGACCCAGCCTGGCTCTCCTGGGTCATCAGCAGCAGTAGGGACTCTTGAAGAGTTGCCTGTGATAAATCCGCATTGAACTGTTATGCCTGTTGCATTGACTTCTACAGTCCCTGGAGTCTTGTCAAGGTCATTGAGACTAGGTAAGTCATATAAGGTTTGGCCAATCAACCCAATTGTAGAACCAGTCCGCAGAGACATGGCAAGGAATGAGGAACTAGCAGAAACAAAAGCAGAAAAGTCCTATGGATACTAATCAGTGGTAAATACATTTAATATAATTTTTTGTACGTTTGATGCCTTGGGGAAAAAATCTCCATTAGGCCAGTCATATGCTGAGCCTGAGAAATTGAATAATGCAATACTTTGTTGGGTTTCAACAGAGTATGTCCTGGTTGCATCAAATGTTTGAAGGGAAAACAATGCTGATATGGTAATATGGAGTAATGCTACCATCAAGAGGTAAATGCAAGTTGAGAGTACTCCTGTCACTGCAACTGGAAGTGTTTTTTGATACCAGAGGTATTGAAGAGCCGAGCCAATGCCAAGCCATGCTGCTGTATTGTCATGTGTTGCTGTAAGTGTTTGTTCTGTAGTCAAGATTCTTTGTGTTGATAGTTTTTGCATAATATAGACAAGAATTGCCAGGAAAATCTGAAAATATAAGTTTATCTTGCATTAATCAATATTGCGGTGAAATTTACTGTGCCAATAGCAGTGGAAAGTGCTGTGATGGTGATTGATACCTCATGCTGTATAGATAGAGGAAAGATGATCTTTGTTTCCAATTCTAGTTGTTGAATCACTAGCAGGATGACATGTGCAATGACCAGAAGAGCATGGAGGATGATGGAGACCAAGCCTAGCACCTGCATTGGGACAAGACTTTGGTAGTGCCAGGATTTCACTAATTCATTACTAGTATGAGCAAATGGCAGTACACACTAGAAGAAGAGAAGTGAATTTGAGGAATACTAGACACACCTAGATGGCTAAACACGGCTGGCTTCATATGGTTGATGGGGGTGTGTGTACGTGTTGGGCAAGTGGTGGATAGCTATAGGCATGTATAAGTACTACAAGAACCTGGGAAAATCATCTTGAATCAAGATTCTTGGAGAATCACATCTTCGACTCGCAATCATGATCACCTCAAATGAATGTTCTACCATCTGATATGTAGCGCTGCTCGTGCTGGACATTGGCTGGACATATCTGTACCTCTAGATGATAGATCGCCATTCGCCTCCCAAAATAACTCACAGCACATTCATCATTTCAATGATTGATGGATGGATGGATGGATGGATCATCCCGTCGGCCCCGCGATGCAGTTGGTCGGCTATGAATGGATGTCAAAGTATTGCGTTATTGCCTTGGTTATTGCGGTGGTTACTGTGACGTGGACTCACGATGGAAAGAAAACTTGAAGGACGATTCTCCCACAAGACCCCGGCCAGGGCCCAGGGGTCGAGCACAGGTTACTGTACATTTAAAGATGTTCACCAGACAGACGTCCGCCACATGCACATTGTCGACACATCTAAAATTGTCCATCTAAAGACAGGGATGTTGGAGAAAATGTCGCGTAATTACTAAACGCGGATCTGTCAAAGTCGCAGTGCGTGGCTTCTGCCCGCCACCTGCCTCCTTCTTCGCTTCCCTCCTTCCCTCTCTGTCTGTTTGGTCTCTCCCTCGCGCCACTGGCAACGACGATGTCGGGATTCCTCTTGCTCGTTGCCGCGCTCCCGGCCGCCATCGTCGCTTACGTCCTCTTCCATGCCCTACACTACCTCTACCGCGACCTCACCTTCTCGCTGGCGCACATTGGTGCCCCCAAGAGCGCGAGCTGGCTGCTGGGCAACTTCGGGGAGATGATGGTGGGTCCTCTCGCCACTTATACTGCCCTCTTTGTGTTATTTTCTGCGTGTGGTGGGAAGGGCGAGCTAATGTGAGAGGACAGGCGGACCCAGAGCGGACGGAAAAGTGGCGGCGCGAGTTTGGCGCTAATTTTACGTTCAAGACGCTGTTCGGGGTGCGTACTGTCTGGTGCTTTCTGTAGAAGGAAGGCTAATAGAGATAGGTCCGTGAGCTCCATACATCGGACACCCGCGCCATCGCCCACGTCTTTGCCAACGCATCGGTCTACCAGAAGTCGCCTATCACCCTTGCGAATATGAAGCGGCTGCTTGGCACGGGTGGGTTGCTATTTCCGTTTCTTGTTTGACGCTGATGCATGCTGGACAGGCCTGCTGTCAATTGAGCTGGACGAGCACAAGCGTCAGGTGTGTCTCTTGTACTTGATGTTCTGTTTTATAAGTATCCGTAGCGTCGAATCCTGACACAAGCCTTTGGCCCTGCGCAAATTCGGCTCTTCACGGAGACGTTCTACCAAAAAGCAGCCCAACTTCGCGATATCTGGGCGGGCGAGCTGTCGGAGAACGAGGCGGCCGGTCGGGACACAACGATCGACGTGTTTGCATGGCTGAGAAAGATGACATTAGATGTTATTGGCGAGGCTGGTGCGTGTTTCTTCCTCTATATTTCCATGATTAAAGAATTGCTGCAGGCTTTGACTACCAGTTCCACTCTCTGTCGCGGGACCAGAACGCCGAGACGGCCAAGTCGGACGAGTTGGAGGACCTCTTCACCGAGGTTCTGCATTCGCCCAAGGCCCCGAGAAACGTCATGTTTCGGCTGGCGCAGAACATCTACCCGGTTTTGCGGTTGATTGTTCGTTCACCCTTCTTATCTCTTTTCCTCCACTAAAAACCTGCTCAGCCCCTTCCTGGTACGCGCGTGTTACATGCGCTGCGCATGAAGATGGACGGTATTGGCTTCCAAATTCTGGCGCGGAGCAAGGCGGCCGTCGTCCGTGGGGCGAACCTGGGCTCGAAAGCGGGGGAGAAGAGCGAGACGAACGGGTCAGGCAACATCGGACGCGGGGAGGGGAGGGATTTGCTGTCAATCTTGCTCAAGGCGAATATGTCGCCCGACATCAAGGAGAGCCAGCGGATGACGGACATGGAGGCCATCGGACGTGAGCATGGAACTACTTTCATTTCGGCTCTTGACTTATCTTAGAAATTCCGACGTTTTTGTTTGCTGGACACGAAACTACCAGGTAAGGATTTTGCTTGCCTTCAAGTTATTAGTTTGCTCACATTTCGTCTTAGCTCGGCCGTTTCGTGGTCTCTCCACGCCCTCTCCGTCAACACTGCTGCCCAAACTAAACTCCGGGGCGAGATTCTGGCGTTAGCAGCGCGGACCCCGCACCCTACACTGGACGAACTGACCGCGCTGCCTTACATGGAGTGTGTCATCCGCGAGACCCTTCGGCTTCACCCGCCCGCGGTCGCGGCCCAGAGGATGGCCATGCAGGACGACGTTCTCCCGTTGGGCAAGACATATCTCGACCGTTGGGGGAAGGAGTACGACAGCATGCCGTGAGTGTCTGTCATTCACAAGACGAATGCTGAGGAAGCACAGTTTGAAGAAAGGACAGCTGATTCATATCCCCATCCGCGCGGTCAACACGGACAAGGAGATCTGGGGCTCAGACGCGGAGGAATTCCGGTGGGTATTGTCACTTTCTTCTTGCCTGAACTAATTCATGGCAGCCCCGAACGATGGACCCCGGGATCGCCGCTCCCGCCCGCTGTCGCGGGCATACCGGGCGTGTACGCTAACCTGCTCACCTTCTTGGGCGGGCCACATAGCTGCATCGGGTACCGCTTCTCCATCGCCGAGTTCCGCGTAACGCTCTTCACACTCCTCTGTGCATTCGAGTTTGCCGCCGTTGAGGAGATCGGCGGCACGAGCACTGGCCTGCAGAAGCCTATGGTGAAGCGCCAGCCCGAGCGCGGTAGTTGTCTCCCGTTAGGCGTCAAGGCGTATGTCGCGTGAGAGAGGTACTTTTTTTCCTTCTCGTTATTCTTTTCGGACCGTGGATATAGACTTATCGACTTGCTGCAACATTTGTACTCTACGCTACATACGCATAAACACCCCTCCCACATCGGCATTCGCTCCCTACCTATTTACTCAGCTGCTGTCTCATTCTGCCTGTGCTTCGTCTGTATATATTGTGTCTTGTGTACTTAGTGTACGTTCCTGGGATAATGGGATGGACTTGTGCTTCTGCTTTATGCGAAATCGTTCCGCCTTTCAATCAGCAGCCTGAGTGGAGCCTTATAGTTATAAGACTATGTACTTAGCTGATTGTCTTCTTTTTGAACGAATAGGTGTGCAGACACCGTTAAATCAAATTCTGGTGAGAACTTGAACCATAGAACTGCGGTTGGATATAGTCCTGGCCGACTAGTATTATTATGGAGAATCATGCACAGAAAAATCATAATTGAGCCAAAAGTCTTAACCTAGCCAAGGACCAACATACAATAATAAATATATTGGGTGGTTTTAAAACAGTGCTGGCCTATGTATTATGATATTATTATGCCAAATGCATAATAATCGTGGAATAAATATCATAATATGGTACTCCACAGCATAATATATCCATAATATAATATAATAATAATATGAAATATTATATTTAATAAATATAATATAATATTTGAACCTGCTCCAACAAACTTTTGGAATTTTCAAACCTGGTTTTCAGTGATAATATTATGCAATGCTCTGAAATACTTAGTAGCTCATCTAAATCTCTCTGTTAGATCATGTAGAGAAGGTATTTCAGTCACATGTCAGCAGTGAATTGCCTTGTTTGGAAATTATCATCACATTACATAATTTACAATATTGAGAAGGATGTTACAAGTGTGTGTGTGTTGGTTCAGGTTAAACATCCTCTCACTCTAGTAGTGGTTGATATCTACTATATATCATATGGAGTCTTCTTCAACTGAGAGTATTATTGCCAACAGGTAGAAATATTCACTATAAGAAAGAAGACCATTTACAGTATATAAACACTTTGAGGACAAGAATAGAAGTTGTACTAGGTAGTATACAAGCTGATTTTGTCCAAAGTTCATGAGTTTAAAGTAACATATAAGTTGCTAGAATAATGTATTATGCAGCAAGTTGCAACTGTAATAATAATATCATAATAGTATCATAATAGTATCATAATATAATGTAATATAATATTTGTTCGGGCCCCCAGGCATAATATAATAATAATAATGATATGGCAGAATAATCAACCGTAATATAATAATGGCCAGCACTAGTCCTAGGATATATCATGGCCAGGACAACACTCAGTGGTTGTGTTCACAGAATTTTCAAAGTTCCCGATCGGAATCAATTTCTTGCATTCAACTAAATCCCAAATGAACGACGATCTATACTCAGTCCGTACACTCCTTCCCGCCAAACGTGAGCCCAGCAAAGTACGGGCCCAAATGGTCCTGCACGCTCGTCGCCAGCAGCCCGTTGCCGGTCACACACCCGGTGTTGTCCCGCCCGGGACACGCGAGCAGGTTGTCCCCGCTATCGTCGACGACGTGCACCTCGCCCTGCGTGTGCACGAACCCGAGGAAGAGCGGGGGCACCACCGGGACGGGGTCGTGCTGGTTCGTGACAAAGCCCATCGCGTCGGTGGCGAGGTCGGGCGATGGCGCTGACGAGGGGAAGAGGCCCTCGAGGAAGGACGCGAAGGCGGGGTTGCCCCCGCGCGGCTGCCCGAACCCGACGACGGTCACGGGGACCGCGGCGAGCGCCGGGTCGGGGGACGCCGCCAGCGTGGTCTTGATCAGGGCGCCGGTAAGCGACGAGAGCGCCGCGCCGAGGGAGTGGCCCGTGACCAGAACCTTGCTGGCGCCGGTTGCGGACAGCCCGGACATGACGCCGGCGAGCAGGCCGTCTGCGGTCCGCTCGAAGGTCTTTTGGAAGCCCTCGTGCACTGTGATGTTCTCTGAAGGGAGTGTCAGCGATGGGACGGAGGATTGGAGACGACAACGCACGGTCTTCGGTGTCTGGGAAGCGAGACGCGTTGAGCGGGACCAGGCCGAATTGTGCATCATTGAGGATCGAAAGTCTGGAGGATTATTAGCAACGAGTTCCACAGAAAGGAAGTCTGAATTAAATTCACGCACAGTTTCTTGGGATCGGTCCCCTCATGAGCTACTACAATCGCGTCGTCCTCCGCCGAATGCGCAATATAATCTACACACAAAAGTCAGCATGAGGCTTGGGAACTTCCGCATCACATACAGAGCGGAATCGCGCCTTCATCTATGCAGGGACTTGGCATAAGAATACGTTCAGAATGTGTACAACTTCTCACCTCCGCCGCTCTGCAAGAACGTCACACCCTTAATCGCTTCGCATGGCGCGCCACAGCTCCACGCAGCGAGGGACGCCGATGAGCAGTAGGCTGCGCGGGCGAACTGGCCCGGGCGGAGGAAGGCGTCGCTTGCAGACGACACGGACAGCGGTGTCGGTGGGGGCGGGGCGGGAGCTTTGGAGGAGGACGAGCCGAAAAGGCCGCCGAAAAGCGGGAGCGCGAGTGTTGAAGGCAGGGAAATGAGAAGGAGGGCAAAGAGCATCGCGGATGCGGGTGGGCCGGCCAGAGGGAAAGAACGTGAATGAGAGGAGGAGAGAACGAAAGATGGGGGCGCCGCCTCAGCACGTCAGGCCTGGGGATGCGAGCCGGGACTGTATAGGATCGCATGTAAGAATACCCACCTATCCGAGTCGGCCATTTAGCTGATCATCGCGCGGCCTTCTCAATGCTCGTGCACGTCAGCGCGCATCCGAGCATGTCTCGTTGTCGACGTGTCGTTATGCGCATTCAATGGGTGTGAAGATGGGCTGGGCTGGCGTCGCGTCATGCCAGTGGGTAATGCGTTGACTCTAAAGCCTCTAGTGCAGAGCCTGTGCTGGAAGAAGAAGAAACGCACATGTTGACCAGGAACCCGTCTAGAGGATCTCCGGAGGTGGGAGTGTAAAAGGAACGAAACGCGTCACCTTGACAACCAGGTAAATCATAGTGATGTAAAGATGTCGGCATCGCGGACCGGGCTTGAACTTTCCCTTGAAGATTCGCCCGGCGCAAGGTTCCTCGATGTAATTATACGGCACAAGTGTGATGCCCTCTAGTTCTGATCTGCACCAAATGTGCATCTGACAATAAGTAAGTAGGGCTGTTGTCTTCATTTGTAATATAATTGGTGTTTATGTGGAGTTCAAGATGATTCATAGAGTAAGATAATCGAAGTAACATACAATAAGGGCCAAATATCATAAGGAGCAAGTTGTTCATGCGCCTTCTGTTTTCATGCGCTTCTGATCCCCGCCACCCGAGCCGTCAGTCTGACGACGCTTCTGTCGGATTTCTAGGAACATGTTAGTATGAACAGTCGACTCGAGCTCGGAGTTTCTTTCACGCACGTGTAATCGACTCCTGGCTCCGCTTCAGCGCGCCCATGACCGCCTCCAGATCGTCCTCGCTTTGCTGCACGGCATCCTCGCGCTCCTGGAGGGTCTCCAACTCCGCAATAGTCTCCTCATGCGCCGCCCTCTCCCGCTCGTAGCGCTGATCCGCGGCCTCCAGCGCCTCCTCGTGATCCTCGTCGGCCGCGGCGAACTCCTGCGAATGTTGCTGTTCCGCCCACTCCAGCGCAAAGCGGTGCTCCTCCTCCTTCGCCGCGAGCGCGTGTTCATACTGCTCCTGTGCCGCTGTCAGATCGGCATGGTGCATTTGCCGCATCGTGCCGAGCGCCTCCCTGAGCTGCGTGTTTTCATGGTGGTGCGCAAGCTTCGCATTCACCTCCTCGGCCAGGGCGTCTCGCACCTCCCCGAGCTCCGCGTGCAGGGCGTCACGAGCCCCGCGGAGGATGTGCACCTCCGCCCGCAGATTGTCGATGATGTCCAGCTGCGACTGGTGCGTCGCCCGGATCGTGTCGATCATCGCGAACCCGTCCTCGCCGTCCAGCGCCCGTCGTCCCGCTTTGCTTTTCATGGTGGTGGCGGAAGGAGGAAAAGGAGTGTGGAAAGGGGCGTCGTTATTGTTTCAGTTGTCCTGATCGAATGATACATTGGTGACGCCGGTTCGAACCCGGGCCATCGTATATAATGATGATAGTGAAGACTGGAATATTTTGGCGCAGGACTTCATGCCCACATGAACACTAAACCTGATCATGACCTGTCGAGCTAATTAGAGTGCTACAGTATCTGCCTCCTTTAATGCAGTACTTGAGCAGAGATCTGGAAGAAAAAATCTCCGGCCAAGTGCAGCCAAATACAGCAGTTTGGTATCAGTTCAACCCAGGTTGGAATCTTTTCCAAAGAGCTTGATTCTTCTGCTTGTTGTATGCAGTGGCATCACACATATTCTTTCATCACAAGTAGGCAAGTTGAAGGATGTGCATGTAAAATTTAGACCACCAAGGGTTTGTAAGACAGGGTGCATTCCTACTAGGGCCCAGTCACTATCTCCTCTGCCAGGTAAGTACTTCTCTCAATAAGGTAAGATTCAGAATCATCTGACAAGTAATAGGATCAAATTCCGTGGTCAAGCTAAAAAAAATTGGATCAACATGTCCAGGTATGTTACCGTATGTAGATACAGTAAGATGTTATCAGGTTATGTAAATTGATGATAATGATAGTGATGATGTGAAAGACAGTCACAAATTTACTCTATGCCTTTCCTGTTAAAATTAGTCAAATCTTGCTAAAATTCAGCCTCAGTGTGTTTATAATAGCTGTTGGCCGAACCTGGACTCAGAGACTAGGTTCAATTCAAATTGAATTCCTGGACCAGACCTGAGCTTTGGGGATAGAAAAATATATATTAAGCCCAAGATGCCATGAGATAGTCACTATGTAAACAGGGCAATAGTTGTAATCCTTTCAAGTTGGGTCTTAATAATGACTTAGTGGCATAATTGCAAAGACAGTTATTAAAAAGTCTACTTTTGCTACCTAAGGGCCTGCTCAGTGTCACTGAGTTTGACCCCAGACTCCGCTAAAATGATCCCGTCGCCAGACCATTCCCATGGCATGTCAAATGTGTCAAGAAATGTTACAACAACTTGATGTCATGCTTTAGGCTAGCAACAACCATCACCCTCCATTAAACATTGTTCTCCTTGCCAGAAAACAGATTTTGAGAGAAAGTAAACACATAGATTAACTACAAGCGCTATATTATATTTAAATCCCAAATTTCATATGAAACAATGCAACGGTAGTGGAGATTATCTACGTGTCTGTGTCTGATCAGTTGATACTTGTTTGGCTGTAGGAGAAAAGGGTTACTCATGTGTGACCCAAGGGACAGTGATATTTAGCCAAGTTTCCACACTGGCTAGAGGATTGAAGCCAGTGACACTGAGCAGGCCCTAAAGGAGATTCCTTTTTATATCAGAAAGTCTCGGATAGTGATGGCCAAGTCCAGTTCGGTCCGGTTCTTGGCCCTTTTTGGCTGAACACTGGAACACCAGAACACTGGTTCAGTTCAAAATGGGATTTTGCCGAACATGAACACCAGTTCAAACCGGCCCCGAACCAGCGTTTTTGGGCTGAAAAACGGCTGAACCTGGCCAAACCAAGGGCCAGGTTTGGTTTGGAAACGGCCTTGGCCGAACCTGAATGCTGAACCCGCATTCAGTCCAACCCGGTTCACCGGGTTTGAACCAAAATCCCAAACCGGACCTGGCTATCACTAATCTCAGATTGCAATTTTGTTCTTAAAATAAGAGAAACTTGTCTATACAGGAAAGTCAGAAGTAATATCTCTTTAAGTAATCAAGCAATAGTTACGATTCAAAATCTTCTAACATGTTAGCATGCAAGATACTAGGAGAAGTCCACATAGAATGTGATCTTGCACTTATAATTAATCAAGCCTTTAAGACCATTATGATGGACCATGCTAGAATTTAAATATGAATAGAATCTTAGTACTTATTCAATAATGAGTTCCTTATCAAAAATAGGGTTTTTTGACACAAAACTGGTTTCTCAGCACTGACAGCATGAGGTTGGAAATCATCATCAATCTTCATGAGTTTCTATCAATGGCATCAGGATCACATATAGTCCCAACATAATTGGAGCACATCAGAGAGACAAGAAATACCCACAAATATCATAAGGGAATATGTAGAAGAATAGGGCTGGAAGCTCACTATATAGCCTTGTCAACCTATAATTATTGTTTTCAGGTCAAATTTTTGTATAATGTATACTGCCAGGGTTCAAGTTAAAACAAAATTGTGGCATATTTTTTGAGGTAGTATTGCTAGACAGTGTTACTTGAGGTGACTCAAGCCCTTAGGCATTTAATATTAAAGTTGCATCGTTGCAGCTTGGCTTTGGCTAGATGCATAGCTTATAAGTGTTGAAGAGTAAAAAGTGGGGGTAAAGAGTCTATATCCTAAACTAGGTACATGAGCTTAATTTATAGTACTTGATATGCGCAGCGCGCAGTCGGCGCAGTCCGCAGTGCACAGCCGCAGTCCGGAGTCCGGAGTCCGTAGTCCGTAGTCCGCAGCCGCAGTCCGCAGTCCGGAGTTCGCACGTGATCAGTGCTCCGTCAACACTCCCCCTCGAACGAAGCAACTGTCCTTTAAACTTGAGTCATACCAAGTTTACGGACTTGCTCTTGGTGCTGTATGTGGGCAAGTGGTTTGGTGAATATGTCCGCACGATTATCAGCTGATGCGCAGTGATGAACAGTGACCTTGTTAGAAGTCACAACATCGCGAATGTAATGGTGTTTGATGTTGATATGCTTTGAGCGAGCATGAAATCAAGAGTTGAATGTAAAGTCAATTGCACCACGATTGTCCACGAAAATTGGAAAGGGTTCCATGTTGGTTACACCCAATTCGGAAAGAGGAGTAATAAGCCATTGAGATTTGCGTGCCGAATGTGATACTGCGACATACTCTGCTTCCATAGTGGATAGAGCAACGGTGGCCTGTTTCTTGGAAGACCAAGTGACTGCTCCCCCCCGCAAGGGTAGAGACATATCCAGAGATGGATCTACGGTCATCAACACTGTTGCCCCAGTGTTATATCCGTGCCGACTCCGGCATCCGATTCCGATATCGACTCCGGTATTTGGTTTTTACGCAATGAAGATTTACTGAGCGTTTCCAATTACTCCGACTTATGATCTATGCAATCATCTATGCCTTGTTCCTCGTATGCAACTCCTCTTCTACTTTACTTGACTTTGTTCTAATCTTGTTACTTACTTTGTTATACCTTATTCCGTTTCCGTTACTTCTCGTACTATAAATACTTTGATGTATTATCACGTACTTCAGTTTGTAAATTAACGTTGCTGGTCTCTATCTTCCAGTGTCGTCTCGACTCCGCTCTTCTCTTCTTGTCTTGTCTTGGTCAACTGGAAGCCCCGGTCACCCAAACATCCTTCTGTGGTGTTCCGCCCCAAGTGCTCTACGATCTCGATTCCGTTTCCGACTTCGACTCCGTCTCCGTCTCCGTCTCCGTCCCTTTGGTCGACACGGCACTTAACAGTATTTACAAACTCACTTCCTTTTGACCATGTCAAACGTACGCCTCTCTTCTGACAACATTGACCCCGCCAATACTGGTCAACGGCGTTCATCCCGCTTCTACGAACAAATGGTTCCTCTCACTTCGCTATGGCGAACTTCACCTACAACGCTGGCGCTCCTGTCACTTCGGTTCCTGTTCCCGTTCCTCGGACACCTACTGGCACGACCAACCCTTTCCGGCCTGGTTTTGTCATGTCTCCGCAGGATCCTGATCCAAGTACTATCCCTATGCCAACGACTCCGCATCCAAACACGGGTCATTTCTCTAGCGTCAGTTCCCCTCCCGTCTCTCCTACTTTTCGTTACCGACCCCTCACTCCCACACGCCTTCACGACATCGAAGAAGAAAGCGAGCCAGTCCCGATGTATCGGCACGCTTTTAGCAGGCCCATGAGCCCTGCTCAAGGTTGCTCCGGAAACGGAAACGATTCCGGTCAAGGTCAACCAAACTGCAACCGCTCTCCGACTCTTAGTGGCAAGCCGAGTCCGTTCTTGACTTCGCCATCTAGTCGATCTACGACCCCTCCTGGTTTCCCTGGAGGTGGACCTCCTGGCGGTGGTGGACCTGGCGGACCTGGTGGTCCTGGTGGTCCTGGTGGCGGCCCTGGTGGATCTGGAAATCCATTCTGGGGTCCCCCTAGAGGTGGTGGTGGCGGAGGAGGCGGAGGAGGTGGAGGTGGAGGTGGTGGGCCACCTGGTGGAGGTGGTGGTGCCGGAGTCCCTCGAGCTGGCTCTCCGGGCCGTGATCTTCAACGCTATGATGATTGGCGCTCCAAAATTTCCAACATTTCCTCACCAACTTTCCTCAGCGCAACAATGCTGCGCCCGTTCCAATCGGAGTCTTCTCCGGGCACCAGACACGTTCGACGGTTCCGAGCCCGGGGCTCGTCCCTTTCCTCACCCAGTGCTATATGCACTTTGCCGAGCGTGAGCAAGATTTCTCTACTGATGACGAGAAAATAATCTACATCACCTCGTATCTGCGCGGAAACGCATTGGCGTATTTTACGCCTAACCTGTATGCCATGAATCAGGGCCAGGCTATTGCGATTCCGGCTTGGGACGGGAATTTTCCTTTGTTCATCAAGGAACTCCAGGACAACTTTGGTCCTCAGGACCCGGTTGGCGACGCGGAGGACAAAATCCGGAATGTGACGATGAAGTCCGGTGATAAGATCACCACTTACATTATCCAATTCGACACCCTCGCTCTCATCACCAACTGGGGTGATTCCGCTCTCCGACATACCTTCTATTCCGGTCTTCCTAAACGTATCAAGGACGACATGATGCACTACGTCTACGCTAATACGCTGGACGGAGTCAAGCAAACTGCCCGTCTCATCGACGGCAAGTATTGGAAGCATGAAGCGGAGAAGCAGAGGGAGCGGGAGTTAAGAGATTCTCATGGTGGTGGATCTGGTTCTGGTTCGGGCTC